TAGGAAAACTCTTATATAAATGTATTTTGAAAACAATGTTGTAATGTTTTGATGAATTCGACGTGTTTTTGAAAATTTAAATTTGGCTTAAATTTTGAGTGTTACAAGTTAGTATCAGAGCCTTGGTTTGAGTGAATTGGAGGAACATTCGTGTGAATCCAGTCTCAAATCGAGGAAAGATTTTGAAAATGGTTTTAAATGGTTTTCAAAATAAGTAAAGGAGGATGCAGGGTGTACGATCAGACGGAGCCAGTAAGTAGACCCCAAAATACCATACAGTTATTTGATATCGTGATATGTTAGAACAGCATGCTAGTACTAGGCTAGGGATCTTCAGGAATTGCATGATAGAATTCCCTAATTATAAGATGCCTGATAGCCTAGGGATTCCTTATGTGAGATTGACATCATTACTATAGTTGTCTAATGTATGCATCACAGTTGTACCTAATTAAGATCTTATAGCCTGAGAATGTTTGATTTGGCCTTATGTTCTGTTCTTGTTTGATTGGGAGCTTGGGGTAGGATTGTGTATTTGAAAGTCTATAGGTTCCAGCGTTATGTATGGCTAGCATACATTAGTGTTGCAGGGTTGGTGGAAGTTTCATGGATAGGAGGGATTGAGTGAGATCGGGAGGTCAGTTATGAGATATTTAGCATTCCTCTAAGAGTCAGGGTTGAGCGCTCGCCTTGTTGTGCATATTGTTAGGGTGTTGTGGGGATACTTGGGACGAATATGGGTAGGTGTGGAAGGTAGTAGGCGCCCATGCTACTGAAAGCACAGAACCTATACTCGTGCCAAGTAAGTCACAATCCCTAGGGTTAGTAGGGAGTTGGCTCCCAAAGATTTATATGAATTATCTAAAATCTTGTGATATGTTTCAGAATGGTGATGACAAGACGCTTCGTGGCTGGATCCGGTTCGGGATCAGGATCAGGAAATGGAGGTCAGGAGGGGCCGACAGCACCTGAGCTAGTGGTGCAGATTGGTACAGAGGAGTTGGATGCCAGGATTCGGGAAATCCTGCATGATGAGGTTGCTGTTGCATTCCGGGCTCAGTTACCAGAGATGTTCGGGTCGATCAAGACCGCCATGGTGGAGTATTTTGATGAGCGATATGTAGCCCTTGGAGAAACATCCACCGCAGCAGCTGCATCAGTTGTATCAACGACGGGGGGAGGAGTTGGTAGAGGTTTTCAGTACATGGACTTCGATAACACGAAGCCCCCTACTTTTGATGGGGCGCAAGATCCCATCAAGGCTATGAGGTGGATTTCAGATGTGGAGGGGTGCTTCTTTCATTGCTCGTGTCCTGCTAACCAAAAGGTCAGGTGTGCTCTGAACCTGCTTAGGTCGGGGGCCAAGGACTGGTGGAGACTTGCGAATGGGTCATACTCTCATGATTAGAGAGCTGTTGTTACTTGGGAACAGTTCAGGGATATGTTTCGTGCCCGTTTGTCACAACCTAGAAATTTTTGTGCCTTGTAGATTACAACAATTAAGCCAAAGTGTGAATCAAAGACTCAAGAGCATGTATGATGCACACTCTATGACAATAAAATTTCAATCAAACACATCATACAAGCACTACAAATAGTCAACAAGCAATTGGAAACCCTAGAAGTCCTTGTTTAAGTCCATTTTGGACTAGGACTTCCTTATTGGGCCCAATTGACCAATAAGCTTCCAATTTGACCATCTTGGGCTTAGAACTCTTAAATGGGCTCTAATTGGACCCACTTTCATTTATTTTACCATGTTGGGCCATATTGGGCCTAGAATGAAATAAATTATTTAAATGAACCAAATTGGGCCATGAGGCACCCTAGGAGTCCAATGGGGAGAAAAACAATCAACATGGGCCCATGATTTGGATTTAAGCACCAAAGGCCCAAGTCTCCATCTCTCCCCTCTATCTCTCGGCCCAAGTAGAAAAAAAAAAAAAGAAGAATTTGAGAATTAAGGAGGATTAGCCACGTCCTTAATACCTATGGGATATCCAAGCATATCTCACATGTTTCCATGCATATCCTCTCACTTCTCTCTCTCTCTCTTCTTCTTCTATTACTCTCGGCCAAGAGTATCACACACCCACACAAAATCATTCACTTAAACACTCTCAAGAACACACCACAAATCCCTTCACTTTCGCTTCAAAAAAATTGAGATTTAAGGACTTTGCAAGGAGGATTCTTCACAAAAATCATCATCTTAGGTAAGTTGATGCTTGGATCCACACTATAGACTCTTTGTTCTATCAAAAATCTCCTCTTAACTCATATGAATCATGATCTTGTATCTTAGAACCCTCTAAGTTCGAGATCCATTCAAGAAACTTGTTAGGGCCGAAAATAGCAAGAAACTCTTCTCTTTTCTTCTTCAAATCGAAACCACAACTCAAGGTGAGCTTCATACCCCCTCTTTTTCGGTTTTTATAAGTTTTATGGGGGAGAATACAAGCAAATGTGTACATCTATGAGTATATGTATGCCTTGTGTGATTTTTATGCTAATATGTACGATCTTGTGTGATTGTGATGTTTAAACTAGCCACATGAACCTAAAAACCGAGATCTACTATATGAAGAATGAAATAAGTATAACTTATACCATTTCACACTAACCAAGTTTAGAAAAATAATCTAGTTGGTTAATATGAACATTTTTGGACTTAAAAACCCATTTTTGGGCTCAAAATGCTAAAAATACAAAACTAAGGGGGCCAAAATGATAAAATATAAATTCTGAAGGTTGAGATGAGTCTAAACAGTTTCTAATATGTATTTTCTGAAAATTAACACTTTTGAAGGGTTAAAAATGTGAATTTTAAACATAATGGGCCAAAATGGACCTTTCGTCCCAATAAAGCCCCAAATTGAGAGAATTTTGATTTGGAGGGGCTGAAACTACACATTTTTGTAAAACAGAGGATTACTAGTGTACCAAATTTATTTCAAGGGTTAAAAATGCTTTTCAAATTAAAAAGGGACCAAAGATGCAAAAAATTTCCATTTAGGGTCAAAATTGTAAAAGTTGTGAAAATGGAGGTTTCAACCGAGAAAAATTTCATTTTTGAAGGACTTAAGCTGTTTATCAAGTAAATTTGTGCTAAAAATGTCTTTCCAATAAGTTCTGATACTAAAGTGTCAAGAAAAATAGTTTACGGACTAAACCGGAAATTCTTTCTACACAAAGGGTTAAAAGTGTAAATTTTATCCGAGAAAACGGCCTAAGAAGATAAACTCACATTCTTAAAACAATAGACCCCTTAAAATAAAAATACGAGTATTACGTCTACCGGAAAAACGTAATAATAAATACACCTTCAACACCAAAATCGTTACCAAACGAATTGATTCGGTCTCGAATCAATAACGAATCAAAAATCAATAATCAATGATACTTCAATGCACACACGGAAATTTACAAGAAGTCAATACACCATCTTTGGGCTCGAAAGTTTCAAATCGTGCTTGTTGGGACTAGCTAGCCCAATGACATGATCTTTAGGCCCGAAGGGAACTCGCTTACATGTTATTGGGCCATAAATGACCTAATTCCGTGTAAAAGGACTTTCAATAGCTATATTGTGTTGTTGGGCCCCAAGGGTCCTTTGGTACTGCTAGCAAAGTTGAGAAGTTAAATGCGAGTCGGACCAAGTGCCTTTCGCATTTACGATAGCCTTGAACGACTTATGGAAATAATGGAGGCTTCGCACCCTCTTTTCTCCTCGGTTGCGGGGCTAGGAGAAGTCAGGGTGGTTGGATTAAGTGGGTAGTACGGACGACGCCTAAGGGATTGTTTGTATAGTTGTAAACTATTCATTTTCATTAATGCGTGATTATAACGACTCAAAACCCATAATTAATCCAATGTCACCTGGAAGTATAGAAAACAACGTCGTATCGCGATAATACTAACTAAGCCACGTAATTTGATGTATTGTGGAAAACATCGGGTTTTCCCTGGGGAATTCAACACTCTTAACTATGTGATATATACAAAGTCTAAAAATTATTCACGTTTATAATAATCAACAAGCATACTTACGGATCTTCACACTTTTTCTTATATACAACACTTTTTTTTAGAAAATATCGGATTTTCTGTGGTTTTCAAAATTATACAAATCATTTCTTTTCAAACCATACTTATGAACTCACCAACATTTCATATGTTGACGTTTTTCCAAAATACTTGTATTCTCAGATAACAGGTAAATCGAAGCCAAATGTATCCAGTGATGTCATAATGTTTGTTTAATTAGTATCGAACGGTTTATGTTTTGCGAATGTAATGCTTTAAACAATGTACTGAATGTAAACAATATCGGTTGTAATATTTCAATGCATGGTGGTGAATAATGTTATGATTCATGTGTATTCATTGTAATGGTATTCAATTAAGTCACAATAGCCCTCGGACGTTTCTGCCGTCTGGTTCGGGGGTGTGATAGGTTGGTATCAGAGCTCTATTTATAGTGAACTAGCATATCTAACCACACATTGATATGCAACTATAAACCAAAAGAGGGACTAACACAACTCTGAACAAAACAAGTAAAACACAACAATAAAAACATCCTTGCTTGTATTAGGAAAAAGAACATAATACCGAACCAAATAAGATAATGCTAGTATCTCGGTCGAGCCAGGACTGTTCTAGTCATATCAAGAAGTAGATGTAGCCTGATCAACTACATTCCCTCCAAGGTATAACTATCACACATTCTGAGGAAATCGTGATAGCTAGGGAACCTAAAAATATACCCCTTTATCACCAAGAAGAGAACTTCAGCTCAATCGATACAATAATTGTAGAGCCTTAGGAGTAATGATAGTTTATTCGTATACCTCCTCTCAGTCGCTATGGAAGGGGAGCAGCAGGACATCCAGTTTCATCAAGTCCTAGTAGCCCACGGGAAGGTCAAGGATGAGCCAGAGGTAGATCAAGGAAAGGCACACGACATTATACCTAAAGAGGAATAGGATGAATACGTGATGGTTGATCACGATTATGATGAGTTGGACCAGGAGCCAGATGAAGAAAAGGGCGTAGAAGAGGCATGTAGGAACCTCACCAGTTGGAAGCCCCGTCAAATTTTCGCATGTTTCAAGGGGTGGATACAGACTACTTACGTGCCCTCGAGGAGGCAGTTATCAACCTAAAGCTTCAATACATCATGGCCAAGGCGAGGGTTGTACGAGCCGAGCGAAAAGTAGAGGCAATCACCCAACAGGCTGATGAACTGGCTGAACTTCTGGTGCGTCACCTCGATGATCGAGTGTCGTCGTCATCCTTAATAATAGGACCTACACTACTACCTTCTAGATAGGTTCCACCGTACGAGGGACTAGTTATACTCGTCTTTAGTACTAGTACTAGGATATATGTTATGTACCCCGACTCTATGTTTAAGTGACTACACTACTCATAGAGTCGTTATGCTGTCGAACTAGTACCGCTTATGTATGCTCTTTCGAGCAAAATTTTCATGTATCAAAGTGCGGATAATAGTAATGAAAGATTGTATATGTTTTATTATGACGTTATAATCTGCTATGTGTTATGTATCCATGATTGTATGCTCAATCGTAGAAGTACTTAAGTTGTGCCACGTACCTAGTCGATAGGATCACAACCTCACGAAAACCACATACACTCAACATCTTTCCGTTCTATGACAGAAAGATGCCTCCACAACCCACTCGCGGAAACCCGGGACCAACCCCACCCGAAGTTGACTCAGTCGCGTTCCAGGCAGCTGTATCTGCTGCGGTCACCGCATCAATGGCACAAATTCACCAAGGGAGCAATGGAGGAGTCAACGGGCAAGGGGCCGGAAGTTCGAACAACGGAATGAATCAAGGACCCGCCAAAACATGTTCTTACAAAGACTTCACCAACACCAAACCACGAACCTTTAACGGCACTGGAGGAATGATCACCCTGAAACGATGGATCGAGAAGGTCGAATCGGTGTTCGAGATATGCGATTGCCCTGAGGAGATGAAGGTGAAGTTTGCCGCATGCACTTTCGTTGACCAAGCGCTCACTTGGTGGAACGGACACGTGGAAGCCATGACACTCCCCATAGCCAATTCCATGCCATGGGCAGAAATGAAAGAAATGCTGATGGCCGAATACTGTCCTCGTGGTGAAATTCAGAAAATGGAACAAGAGCTGTGGAATCTCACTGTCCGGAACGCCGACATAGATGACTACATATCCAGGTTCAGCAAACTGTCTCTGTTATGCCCTGGCATGATTACCTCAGAGGGTAAGAAGATCGAGCGATTCATCTGGGGACTAACCTCCCCAATCCAGGGAAATGTAATAGCTGCAAATCCTGAAACTTTCAACAGTGCCAAGAGATTGGCCAAGAAGTTATATGACCACAACAACAAGAAGGGTGAGAAGCCAATCGAGACTGAATTTAAGAGGGAAAATGATAGCAAGAAAGGGAAGAACAACAAGAGAAAGGGGCGTCAAGGCTCTGAATCGTCCAAGAAACAGCAAACAGTGACGGTTAATGCTGCGACCACGCAAGCTCCATCCACATCACATGCTCCAGCCTCAGGTGCACCAAGTGCTCCTAGACCTTATTCCGGTAATCTTCCTAAGTGCAACAAGTATGGTCTCCATCACAATGGGGAATGCAGAGAGATGCAGTGCACCAGTTGCAATCGGAAGGGGCACACGGCAAAGTACTGCATGACTTATCCTCCTCAAAATCAACAGCAGGGAAGCAACAACAACAACAACAACCGCAACAACAACAACACCAACACCGCCGGCAACAATGCAGGACCTAGCCACACCTGCTATGGTTGTGGAAGGACTGGGCATTTCTGTCAAAACTGCCCCAACAACAACAATCCTGGAAATGGAGGAACCAGAAGAGTGCTGACCATGGGTCAGAGGGATACGATTCAGGATCCCGCTGTTGTTACCGATACGTTTCCCCTAAACTACACATATGCATGCATCCTATTTGACACCGGAGTGGAGCGAAGTTTTGTGAGCAATAAGTTTAAACATTTGTTAAAACAACAACCCCAGAAGCTCAATGAAACCTTAAGGTGGAAATGGCCAATGGGAAAACCGAATCCACTGGGGAAATCTACATCGGATGTACCCTAACTCTAAATCAACACGTCTTTCAAATAGACTTGATGTCTGTTTCCATTAGGAGTTTTGATGTGATTATTGGCATGGACTGGTTAAGCCCCCACCATGCTGAAATTATGTGTCACGAGAAGGCCGTTCGCCTTCATCTTCCCAATCACGAAACCCTAGTTATTTACGGAGACAAACCTAGCACGAACCTTCGCATCATCTTGTGTGTCCAGGCACACAAGCATCTACGAAAGAAAATTTTCACATTCTTGGCTCACATAGTGGATAAAGCCAAGGAAGAGGTTAACATTCAAGACATCCCAGTAGCACGTGAATTCCCAGATGTATTTCCTGAAGATCTCCCTGGAGTACCACCAGAGAGACAAATTGAGTTCCGAATTGACCTCGTTCCAGGAGTAACTCCACTTGCTAAATCGCCTTACCGTCTAGCTCCTGCTGAAATGCAGGAATTGTCCAGCCAACTCAGTGAACTCCTGGAAAAGGGATTCATCCAACCCAACTACTCACCATGGAGAGCTCCGGTCCTCTTTGTCAAAAAGAAGGATGGATCTTTTAGGATGTGTATCGATTACAGGGAACTAAACAAACTCACCGTCAAGAATCGCTACCCATTCCCACGAATCGACGATCTATTTGACCAACTCCAAGGAGCTAGTTACTTCTCTAAGATAGATCTACGATCCGGGTACCATCAGCTCAGGGTCCGGGAAGAGGATATTCCCAAAACCGTTTTCCGAACTCGTTCCGGACATTATGAATTTTTCGTAATGCCCTTCGGTCTAACAAATGCCCCTACCACATTTATGGACCTGATGAACCGAATCTGTCGACCATTCCTCGACAACTTTGTAATCGTCTTCATTGACGACATTCTCGTCTATTCCCGGAGCGAAGAAGAGCATGGCCGACATCTCCAACAAATCCTAGAAACCCTACGAACAGAAAAGCTATACACAAAACTTTCTAAGTGTGAGTTTTGGCTCCGTAGCGTGAACTTCTTAGGTCATGTTGTTAGTCGGGAAGGAATTCATGTGGATCCTTCTAAGGTCAAAGTTGTCGAAGGATGGGCAGTCCCTACAACACCCACAGAAATCCGCCAATTCTTAGGCCTAGCAGGCTACTACAGGAGATTCATTCAGAAGTTCTCTAAGATCGCCAAGCCACTTACCTTGCTTACACAAAAGGGTGTACCATTCAAATGGACGGACAAACAAGATTGCCTTCCGAACCCTAAAGCAAGCCCTCTGTAGTGCCCTGGTACTATCTCTACCGGAGGGAACGGAAGACTTCGTGGTCTACTGTGACGCGTCGAATCAGGGTTTAGGTTGCGTTCTCATGCAGCATGGAAGAGTGATAGCTTACGCATCCCGCCAACTAAATACACACGAAGTGAATTATACAACCCATGATCTGGAATTGGGAGCGGTGGTCTTTGCTCTGAAGATTTGGAGGCATTACCTTTATGGTACGAAGTGCACCATCTTCACGGACCACAAAAGTCTCGAGCATATCTTGAACCAGAAAAAGTTGAATATGAGGCAACGAATATGGGTTGAACTATTAAACGATTTCGAGTGTGAAATCAAATACCACCCAAGCAAGGCCAACGTGGTAGCTGATGCCTTGAGTTGGAAGGAGTACTCTAATCGTCATGTGAAAACTCTCTCAATAACCATCAAATCTCACCTAACCACTCAGATCGGGGTAGCCCAGTCAGATGCCATGAAAACGGAAAACAGAGCAAGTGAAGCATTACATGGAATGGAGAAGAATCTAGAGGTAAAGGAGAATGGAGTATACTACTTCATGAACCATATTTGGGTCCCTAAACTCGGAGGATTTAGGGAGGTAGTCATGAATGAAGCTCACAAAACACGATACTCCATCCATCCCGGTTTGGATAAGATGTACTTGGATATTAAACAACATTATTGGTGGCCTAACATGAAAGCAGAAATTACCACCTATGACAGCAAATGCCTTACTTGTGCCAAAGTAAAGGTGGAGTACCAAATCCCCTCGGGGTTATTACAGCAACCGGTGATTCCCGATTGGAAATAGGAAGGGATTTCTATGGATTTTGTGACCAAGCTACCCAAGACGTCAGATGGATTAGACACCATATGGGTAATAGTTGACCGACTGATGAAATCCGCTCATTTCCTGCCAATAAAAGAATCCTACAAGATGGAGAGACTGACACGATTATACATTCGAGAAATAGTGAGACTCCATGGAGTACCACTGTCTATTATCTCGGATAGAGACAGTAGATTCACTTCACATTTTTGGCAATCACTTCAGAAAACACTCGGAACCCACCTCGACATGAGCACCGCTTATCACCCACAAACGGACGGTAAAAGCGAATGAACCATTCAGACGCTCGAAGACATGCTTCGCGCATGTGTGATAGACTTTGGGAAGTCTTGGGACATCCACTTGCCCTTAGTGGAATTCTATTATAACAACAGTTATCATTCGAGCATCAAAGTCGCTCCTTTCGAAGCACTATATGGATGTAAGTGTAGATCACCGTTGTGTTGGGCTGAAGTGGGTGACACCCAGCCAGCAAAAACACTAGCATCGGACAAGGCGTTAACGGGACCGGAGATCATACATGAAACCACGGAAAAGATAGTTCAAATCAGTGCTCGACTACAAGCATCATGTGACCGACAAAAGAGGTACGCCGATAGACGGCGAAAGCCCTTAGAGTTTCAGGTCGGGGATCGAGTGTTGTTAAAAGTTTCACCTTGGAAAGGAGTCATTCGTTTTGGAAAACGGGGAAAACTGAACCCACGATACATTGGACCTTTCGAGATCGTTGCCCGAATAGGTCCAGTGGCGTACAAACTGCAACTACCCGCTGAGCTAAGCAGTGTACACCCCGTGTTCCATGTCTCCAATCTTAAGAAGTGCCTATAAGATGAAACACTCATCATTCCCCTTGACGAGATTGAAATCAACGAGAATCTCTTGTTCATTGAGGAACCAGTCGAAATCATGGACAGGGAGGTGAAGCGTACTAAGCAAAGTCGCATCCCGGTCGTGAAAGTACGATGGAACGCGAAGCGTGGGCCAGAATTCACGTGGGAACGCGAAGACCAAATGAAGCAAAAGTACCCTCACCTATTCTAGAATTCTCAAATCTTGCTTTCAAAAGAATTTCGGGACGAAATTCCCTCTAACGGG